TGTACCCCGAGTGTCAGGCCTCTCACAACTTGGAAAGCTCTTACTTAACTCCTATACAATTTAGAAAAGAAATTCTTTTTCCGTTTCTCAACTCGTGTACCGCTGTTGTGCCCAGTAATTCTTGCATCAGATTAATTTGATGGGAATTATTGTCTACATAATGAATATTTTCCGTGTACTATTTGGTTGTGAAGTAATCTTTTATAACGTCCTGTTTTCTATAGTCCTGATATTTCAGCTTGTTCAAGGAATTTTAGACAATCTTTCACTATAATTTTATAAATTCATCAGTATTCTGGTAATGCATGGTTCATATGAGCCGCACACTTTATACTACTAATTCATTAGACTAAATCTTGATTGAACACTGATACGAATTAATCCCAACGATATTCTATCACTGTTGTGTAAAAATTGTTAACCGAATATGTGAGCAAATCATACGACTTTTGTCTTTTATGATCTGGAGAATTAACTTCATTTGATGCATCAGAAAGAAACGTTAAGAATAGGGTAAACTGCTGGACTCTAACAGAACTTTGAACATCGGTGAATCGGTTTGGAAAAATAGGACAGTCATTAGGGAAAATGTTGAAATCCACTGATTGCATAATAATACAATAAAGTGTATGATGCATCTCGATCGGAATCAAAGTCACGATGTGTGATTTGAGGACATAACAGTCGACTTTTAAACTTCACAATACGTTTCAACGTCTGGAATTTTTCAAAATTTTCTGCAGTCGAACGACAAATCAGTTGACTGTATAGTCACAAGAGAATGATAGCAGATAACTTTTATAAACTTCAGAGTGACTTGTTTTCTCACTACAAAGCATATTTTTCGGTCACTAAAACGTTCATTAACGGTACTACACTGAGTGAAATAGCGTTTACCGTAAACTAAGTCAGTCATACCAGCAATAAAATATTGAAAATATTAGTAAACGTGAATATTTTGGACACAGTCAGGAGATATAGTTTATTAGGAATTGAAACCAGCTCAGTAGTTATTAGACACCGAAAAATGCTGATAGATTTTGTCAAAGCTAATTTTCTTATCACTCATTACTATACCACTTCTATTCGGTTTCTGATGACAGTCAGAAAATTTAAGTAATGTGGAAAGCGAATCACGATTGAGCAAGTGGGTTTGAAGGTTTATGGTCAAAATGTATAGAGTCTTTAAAGCTAAATGTGATGAGACCTTTTTTGTCATGTTATTAATAAGTGTGAGTTTCTTGGATTAAGATAGCCGTAAAATTTACGACTTCCGACAGTGGATATCATTAACGTTTACATATTTTAAAAGAAATATGTATTTTTCTACTTTTTCGTTAGTCAATATCGCCTACAACTTCCTAGAATAAACCACCTAATATGAAGAATCAAACAGACTTGGAGTTTACGATTATCCTATTCTTAGTCAATAATTTAAGAGTTAACTGTAAAGAAAACTATGTTTTCCCTTAGGGTACAGTTCAAATGGACAGAAGATTTAGGATGTCGTAAAAATAATATCTAATCTGTTTGCGTTAGGTTCTTAAATAACGCTATATATCACATGTTGGATAGTGGTAATCATTTAGGCTATCAAAAGAAATAGTAAAAATTACCTTTCAATTAGATTCCAGCTTACTACATCAACACAGAAAATCAACCGTATTCAATTTGTTTAACCCTTACTTTGAATAGAATACCGTATACATTAACGGAGAATCTGACCGGTGAGGATAAAAATAGTTTGGATTTGAGCACCGAATACCTATCGATACTTTTTGCTTCTATAATGTCAACAAGTGCAGCCCTGGAAATTCCTTGTATCTTACCAACTTAAAATGATCCCTTTCATTACCTCCTCCCTTCATTTGCTAAGTTCATCATTCTAATCAGAAATAAATCCAAGAAATTTTCGGCAAAGTGCTTTACATGTTGGACAATTATTATCTTTCCTAGCTTAGACTCCTCTGTCGACCATTTAAAAGTTATATAAAATATGCCTTGACCAATGAGAATAAAGGCCATCTCATGATATCATTACGCTTGTTGTAGAAATATATTTTACTATGTTCTCTTTGACTACTTTTACACTTCTAACAACTTATTGGACCATAGTATGATCTCTTATACCATGTAGCCGTACGTAAACTGATAATGCATTTCCGAACCTTTGTTGAAATGAGCATCAATTCCTCATAAAAACAGTGCTTACCAGGTGAAGTGAAGTGTTGAATACATTAAGTTTCAAACAGCAAGCTTCATGGACATTGTTGTTATTAAACTTCCGGTTTCATTCAACAGTAAATATTACTCAATAACATCAAATCCAGGGAAGTTATTCGTATATTTGGATGTGAACCTGGAGTAAAAAAGCATTTAAATGAGGCGGTGCCCTTTTATTACGGGCTAATATTAATTATAGAGAAGTTTGCGGTTGATTTGTGTAACACTTTACTCGGCACTAAAAACCATATATGAAACCCTCGTCCTACATCTCAAGGAGCCATTGTGATGGCTAAAAACAGAAGATGGAAGATTCTAAGGTTCGTTTAAAACGTCACACCTATTTCCCTACATAAGATGTACAAATAAACCGATTTACGGCTTGAAATATAATACTTGAAAAAACCAATATCTAACTTACTGGTGATAAAAATGAAGTCCAGGAAAAAAAATAACAAATCCAAATAAACACATTGCCACACATAAAATGTCATATAACTCATAACACTGCAATAAAAGACGAGATCTTCAAGTTATTACGCATCGTTTGTCAAGCATTTACGAAGTGGCTGGCACTTATGACATAATTTCAATGAACTGTTAGGTACTTCACTTACATAAAATCAAAATAGCATTTAAATGCAATTTAAGAGGAAGTAGTTATAACTATAACCCTTAGAGTTTATACAAATTTCAATTATCCCCTCATTTTGTGAATACTGAAGCCTATTGCATAAAAATGTACCAGAAATAAATGAAATATGAAAAACCTGCTCTCACTACAGTCACTCAAAACTGCAGATTTCGAAGGGAAGTCATATTCTTCTATGACTAGCTTATTGAATCACCATCTTTTATGTACGATCCTAACAGTGAAATGACAAAATGGTAATGCAACAATTCAAGATTTATTGGAAACCATGTGATGGTATTACAGGATCAAGAATCATAAGCACATGAAGATTTGAAATTGCATATGTAAATTTCCTGACGCTTTCAGATGAACAGATTTAAAATATGGTCCCAGGTGACAAAAGAATGGTATAAGCGAGGAAATATCGCATGACAACATTCCTTCAGTCATTCATAAAGCCTTATGACACAAATAAGCAAACTTTGAGGATAAGCAGCATCAATCAGCTGAGCTATTTTAATCCTTAAGTGATATTCATTTTAATCACCAGCTTTTAGTGTAATTAGTTGAATTTCAGGTTAATGTAAAGAAAGGGACGGTGAAAAAGGCAAGTTAATAAATTTTTTCTACAAATTGTTATGATGTAACGTTAGTGTTAAATAAACACTGACATTATCCCGGTCAAACAGGGAATGCGATATATTTTCACAAAGCAAGGAAATTTCGTTGAACAAGACTGCATGTCAACGTATGGCACTACATATTTCAGTTAAATATTTATTCGACCCAGAAAAACGTATTTGGCATGTAGATGGCCTTCCTGAGGTTTAGTTGCATGAGTTCAATGAAAGGTTTATGCAATATTTTAATCGGAAACTATCCGATATCCTCCATTTAGACCTACTGTTTATAAAAGTCACTCGCCCTCTAATAATCTAAATTTTGACGTATTTCAAAGAATTTGGATCATGCGGATATTTTTACTAACTCCCACCATGATTTAGCTACCTTCTGTCAAAATTAATGGCTCTAATTATCAAAATCAGTAGTTGAAATTTAACCCATACTGCAGCAAGCTAAATAGAATATCTTTCTGTTAATTTACAGTGTTCAAACAATTAGGGATAACCACCCTTGGGTGAATAAGATATGTTAGTTTGTTACCAGTTAAACTCCAGAGAAACTTCAGGCTAATTAATTTTTGAAGCATTTTCATTTATTAGCAGTGGCACTTTATTAACACATGTTGTGCAGAATATTTGAAAAGTAATCTTGCGTTAATAAACAAGTTCACTCCTTGTTTTATTTTGCCTAATTATAGGCAAAATACTCTAGACTGACTTTCATCTGACAACTTTAAACAAAGCTTGAGGTCATGCCAAGGAATATGAATTATTTTGTTGCAATTGTTGGAAACCTCATCAATCAAATGATAATTTGCTCTTGAGTGTGAAATCCTTTTGTACTACTCTAAATGCGAATCATTTAATCTTGGCTTTGTTTCAAGTCTTATCCATCCTTTCTGCCCTGGATGCTGGGCGTATCCTTCAACCAGAAAATGTTACAGTCAGTAAAGTGTTACAAGTATATTTCCAGCTACAAAAAAGTGAAACCGTCATTAAATCAAACAAAGAGAGAAAAAATATCAACCGAAAACCCTGAGAAAATAAAATATTAATCAGTATATTTCTTGCGTTTCACCAAAAATTGGATGGCTTGTCTTTAAGATTAGTTGGTAAACAAATGACTTTACAGATACTACAACTTGGTTCCAGTCAGCCTTGAAAGAATTTCCTGCACTTGCTACCGACAGTAATATCAGCACTCAACCAGTTTGTTGCTGCATTCTTAATACTGAACTTAATACTAAGGAACATAACACTTTAGGAGTACGTGAGCATACAAGAGTGCAGAACTACTCTTTCATCGTCTTTTCTTTTTAATTGCCAGCTTTATAAGGTGTTTCATTAGGTCATATATTTCAAAATGAAGACGAGCACTTAGAAAAACTTAATATTAGCCAAAGTTTTAAAAATAATCAGTGGCACGTAATCCAGTTTTCGAAAATAAACGATAGTTCTAAAAAAACTGACTGAAAACAATACCACAACTGGCTTTGGAAAAGTTAGACTTATAGCAGTTAGTGTTTATGTACCTCAACGGTTAAGAGTAAACACTGATATTTTGTTGAAAGTTACCAAATATTACTCACCTGGCCCATCTCCTCAATCAAATCCGATGTATTAGCTTTCGCTCTTTCATTTATTCTCTCATCAAAAAGATTTAAATCCCATTCGAAAAATAAGGAACCAATGAACTTTTGCATTTCTATTGTCACATACAAGGAGATTGGAATTATATAATTGTACAAAACAACAAATCCTAAAAGTTCTTGGCAAACATTCCACACACTTTTTTTCTCGGGAGGAAGATACCAAACACTTGGATGGCCTAAAACTAAACTCAGGATAATGGAAATTATAACACAAGAAGCCAAAAAAGCCAATATGAAAACGAGATAGAAATTCAGCCTCCCTTCGACCTGTGAAAATTTCGTCTTTTTCCCTTTTGAATTCAAGGCTAGTTTTGTGTCACTGCCCGTATACACAGCACAACCATATATGTAATCGGTATTTCGAAGACAAGCTCCTCTTAGAAGTAAATTTTTAGGTCCGATGGGATAATCGTTAGTGACCGGATCTCCACTTGGATTTTTGAGGCATAATCGACCACTAAAGCTGTAAAGGTCTTCTTCTGGCTGTTGACAACATATGTAGGCTTTCAACTGAGTCGCAAGCGATGAAGGTGTATCATATATATTCGTATGTTCAACAGCTACGAACTGCTTGAGGTTAGTTTCTCCATCCAGACTTGCTGTCGTGACGTAGCACTCCCCACTTGGTTCACTTGAACTCAACAGGACCATATCACAAGGAAAAGATGTGTTATTTCTGCATAAGATTATATTACCAACTTCAAGCTCCATCGACTTCACGGTTGTCAAGTGGCCTTCTTCAGTTACAATTTCAAAAGGAACATAGTTTATCTCCCGGTCTGCTTTCAATCTTAGAAAATCTTCATAGCCCTGTTTAACCATAGTTATCAGAAGTACAAAAATTAGGGGAATTACTGAAGTGACAGGTGACACAGGTGCTTCTGTGAAAAGCTGAATGACTGCAAGACTGATAAAGTAAAAATTTGCGATTCTTTGTGCCTGTTCCCAAGATTCTGAAGAAAAAGCCATACCATGTATATTTTGTGGTCGTCACCTTGTTTCTTCCATACAACTTTCGTAATGAATAACCTTCAACTGGGAAGTGCTGTTTAGAAACTGGCCCAACTGGAATAAAACGCTGTTCTGGTCGAGGAGCACGTTTAATGCCAAGTTTTATCGCAATGTTCTTAACTTTGTTGAACATTTTGAACAGAAAAGAATAGCAAATATAATGTGAAATCTAGTAGATGCAGTAGAGATCTTTACAGAACAGTCTTTAACGCACATCAAAAAAGTGCTCAGATCCTCTTCGTTGCATAGTTTAAGGAATATAACGAGCAACCATTTTGTACTCAGTATACACAATTACTCATAATTAAGTCACACATTTATATTGCTGCTGAATATTAGTCTAAGCAAACGAATCGCTATTTGTGTATTATAACAAAAGATGTTCACGTTTTCATATACATGCTGAAAACATGCAGTTGGTTTCATTTGCAAGTGTTTAAAATTAAACATACTTTGTCTGAGTCTAAAAACTGCAAACAAATGACTTAAAGACCACCTCATGGTTTTAAAAGTGGTTCAAAAGCTGTAAGTAGTTGATAAGGAAAAGAAAAATTCTCACATCTTGTCACAGGCAGTTAGCTATGACTTCCCTTCGATGTTGACCACTGTGCAGATAGACATAGGAAGAAGGTGGTGGTTACGACAAGAAAATTGAGTTAGTTCCTCATTAGATTCGTTTTTGCTATGTAGCATACAACGATATAGCACGATTTAATTGATGACGGAGTTTCGAGCCCACGTTATTCCTCACAATCACATCCATGTGGTCACACTACTTTCAATGCCTGATTTTTACTGCCATGTCGCCCGACACCCTTTGTTTTTATAGGCTAGTTTGACCTACGTACGGGGCATCACAGTCATTGCATGACCCAGAGGCAAGCTTCGCTGGCTTAAGGATCTGATAAATCCAGTTACGCAAAATAATCTGATTTGCCAAATTCCTTGCAATGACTGTGACGTAGGTCAAAGAAGATAGTTCGGAACTCCAGTTAGAGCCACATAAGACTGTCGAAGGTTTGATGGAAACACCTACAATAAAACTGCGTAGAAATCCGCCTTATCGTTACCAGCACCAAGATCTCAATACCAGAATCTGTGCTCCAGTTGGCTTGGGATTTCAGGTCTTGAAAGATGAAAGTGCCGAATTCCTGCTCCATCTATGACGCTCACACTTCTATGCCGTTGACATTGTATACCCGACAAGCGTTATTTACTTGATGCACGAATTCGTCCTCTTCAGGGGTAAATGCCATCTAGTCATCGATTTCCCAGTTTTGAAGTCGAGTTAGATCTTTCAGTGCTGAAACGTGATCCTCCTGGCATCTGGCTTCCAGCCGTAGCTTAGCGCCAACGACGAAACGAAAGACTTCGGGGGAACACCGTTAGAGCAGTTCATTTCTGCCTGCCACGAAAAGAAGAGGCCATAACACTGAGTTTTAGGGAGATCTTCTTGGACATTCAGCCTTCTCACAAACAGAAAAGCATACCTGCGCTTTCTACTGGTGCCCACTTAGATATGAGGCGGACCAGCTGAGAAGAGGTGGTTGCATTTTGAACAGATCTAGTTGGTCGATAAGGCCGTTGTGACTAACACTGCTGAAAGATCGAGAAAAGTTTGGGTAAACAACACCGATTATCCCTTGATAGCAGGCAACACTAGTCCATCGACCTACTGCGATGAGCGAGTCAGCAGTGCAAGAGTACCCTTTCATAATTAATGTTGTTTCGCGTGCGTGGAGGTTGACCGCCCAGTTCGTAGCAGACTAGCTGTGGACTTGAGATTCAACAGTCTGTGGTTCTTCGGATTGTTTCGTTGATCACCTCCACAGGCTGATATTATTCGAATTAACCGGCAATGATTGGACACTATCCCTCAAATTAGAAGCCACCTGAAGGTTTGGGTTATGTTCGCTGCTCCTCCATGTGAAACTACCACAAGGATTTTGTGTGGTTTATGGGAAGTATCCCTTGTAGGTGGTAGCAGCTTACGGCACACCAGCTTAATGCTCGTGCCTGTGACCAGGACTACTGAGTGACTAGTGGGACATTCGCAAACTCACGGGTAGATGACAGATTGTGAGAGTTGGAAATGCTGATCTGATGTGTACTTTGCTGTTTCAGTGTTGCTACTGACCAGTCAATTTTATCCTGATGGTTGAGAGATATGTCTTGGTCTCTCAGAGCGATTCAGCATGGCGGAAGATACTTTTCAGGCTGGGTAAAGACATATTTGCAATTTAACCTTATTCCGCTCGCACATAAAGTAATAATAGAGATAATTTGCTTTGCATAGTGAATTGCACCAACACATGCCATCTTTGCACGCGATATCAGAATGTTCACGTCATCAGTAAAGCTAAGAAATCTCAAAAATAATAAGTCATAATGCTGTGTATGGTTCTCCAGGATGTACAGTTGCATTGGATACTACAAGTTTCAAACGTTGAGCGAAAACTAGTTCACTACACAAAAAGGTGAAGAGCAATACGGGTATCATCACCTAATATGAGTAGTAACTTGGCAACGGTGATTAAGCCCCCACACTTCTGCCAATGAGTTGCACGAAAATTAAGGGTTCATAGCATACCAAACTTTGAGCACGAATGAATCTGAAACCAGGCCGATATTCAATAAGTGTGTGCCACCTACAAATAGCATGCATAACTGAATTTGAGTGCTGGGATGGACTGAGGGGAAAGCTGAGACCTGTGTTGTTCGGTTCCACTGAGCTTGTGGCAACCGCTCAGGTCTACTCTTTTGAGAAAGGAGTAAGCTAAACAAATGAGGCTAAAGTTGCAGCTGGGCCCAGCAACTGCTGACACGTTACGGTTGACGACATGCGAGGTTCCGTCGGTGAACCATTCATATCCCTTCAAGGTCAGCACTTCATCCATTGTCAGCTACAGTTTGTCTCATTACGAGGTGAGTGGTTGTCAGGAGTCGAGGAGCCTGCACATTTATATACAAGTAACGTTTACTACTGACACCCCAGATGCGGTTTTAATCTGAGCCACAAATTTTGGGTGAAGTGTCAAAATAATCGTAGTATGTGTTTACCTCGTGAGAATGTCTACCAGGAAGTGTGCTCAAGCCAACGGGTAAAAAGATATGGGCAGAAGAAGAAAAGAAAAAGAACTCAGGTGTACGTGCGGGGGTAGCTGGGTAAAAAATCTTTATCTTATCAATAAAGTATGCTGATACAGCGGTTAGCACCTTTCAACTATGGGGTGATAGTTTGAAGCTGGGGAATTTGGTTCCGACGAATATGGAATGGTGACATGTTTGCGAGGTAGGATGTTGGGAACCCTACGGTAGTTAAGTACGATGGGAACACCATCCTGAACAGATACAGTCATGTTTCAAGAACCCGTCATTTGTATCTTAGATTTGTGCAAAACACAAGCGAAGAATAGAACAGAAATTACCAGTCCGAAAAATGGAGCACGTCAGTCGATATGTCCTTATAAAAACCCGACAGGTAAGGAATCACTGAACAACCTGAATATAATTTTGAATACGAGGAAAATTTTTAAACTGCAAAGTATGGTTAACGGGAGTCCAGGAGTTTAGGAATTGTCCTGCTGCGGAATAGACAGGCGCTGATCACTAATTGTTCAAACTTGTTACATACCCACGAATACGAGACCAAGAAAGAACGCGATGGCGTAATTGGAAGGAACAGTATATTTGCAAAGTCGTGCCAAGATACTGATGCGTTCCGACTTACCGGCTGGAGGGTCAGTCACGAGCAGTGCAACGCAACACGCCCGCGTGCCAAATGGTGAGGATGCTTGGCAGCGTGTCTTCAGCCTGACGAGTCCGGTGAAATTACCGAGGTCGACATCAACGTTGAATCTCGTCGAACCCGAGGCTGCCGATTTTGGAGGAGTGTGTGACGCTACAAATCACTCCCCAGTGCATTCCTGAGGACTCTAAGACAATACCAGCCGGGTGTAAAAACCTAGTGGCTTCCCCACTGGTAAGACTCTTCCGATGGGCTCACAGCGAGAAGTGGACCCTGGTTGCCTAGACGTATTCAGAGATGCATGGCCAATGAAGAAATAAAGTACAATGCGTTGGATTGTACGTCGGTTGCGATCTTCAGTGTCCTGTGACGTTCCGTTCAGTGCTCGTTGCCCTTGAAGTGTAAGCGAAAGTCTTCAAAACCAAGAAAATTTTCGCAAAATTAGGGAAAATTTATTAATAGATCTACTGAAAGTAGATTTTATGCCTCATTACGCGGTAGTAATAAATTGATATAAAAAGGTGAAATGTACGAGGATTTCGGCATTCTCAGTAGGTAAAAATCGTGCCCCGGAAAAAGATCATTTTGAATTTTAAAAAATGGTCGTCACGCTTTATTTCACACTACTTAGTTTAGTAATCTAATACTTCAAATACTTCGGGAACCTGACGGTTCGACCTGATCGTGTTTTTTCTTGCCTCGCTGGTTGCCGTGTCTCTGTACTACCAGGCACATCTTCACGAATTTAGATAACTGGGCCTTCCACCGGTTGGCTGCAGTGAGCTGAAACGTCATTTATGATGGGGTTGCCTCCGGAATAGGCTAGTTTCAAACGGTCGATGCTAACGGTATCTTCAACTCCGTTTCGCTCCGTTACATAAAACTTCTCACGTCGCTTGATCACTTTGAATGGCCTACCGTAAGGTGGTTCAAGTAGTCGACGAACGGTATCGTGAAGAATTAACACGTGTGATGTCTTTTGTAAAACAAGGTGAGCGAAGTCATCAGTCATTCGAGGTCTTACTGGAGTAGGTCGAACTGAACGTAAGATGTACTATCGAAGACACCTGTGAAAGTCGAAGGGGAAACGAACTCACCTGGTAGGCGAAGAGTAGTTGCATAAACCAGTTCTACAGAAGTGCATCCAGCATCAGCCGTCACAGCGTAACGAATGCCTAGTAGGACTGCAGGCAGAGCCTTGATCGATAGGGCTATGTTTGGAGCTGAAAGGGAAGCATTCAGCTGTCGGTGGGAACGTTCTACCATGCCACTTGCTTGTGGGTGGTAGGCTGTCGTTCAGAATCGAGTGCAACCTGAGACCTGCAGCCTAAAAGTGCAGTCGAAGCGCAAAGTAATTCACGCTAGAATTGGGGCTCACGGTCGGTTGTTACGTATGGTAAACATCTTAAGTTCGAGATCCGTCTTTCGACGAAAGCACGAGCTACTGTTTCAGCAGTAATATCCTTGCTGGGTACTGCTTCCAGTCATCGTGTGAAACGATCCACACAAGTGAGAAGGTAAGCACATCCATCAGATTCTGGTAGAGGGCCTACAATACAAATATGTATGTGATAAAACGCATGCCCGGGACTAGAAAATAGC